AGGCAGGTGCAAAATCATCGTTCATGCAAAACTGAAGGTTTGGGGTCTGGCCCCCATGCATGTGCCCGAAATCTCTGCTCATGATATTTATCCTGCTCATTTCACCTTCAACTCGTTTGGATTTTTCTGTGTTTGAGTCTGCCATGCCCAAAGGCCTTCATAGCACTCTCAGGGTGGATTATTTGTGAACCTGGTTATAGTAACATGCAAAGCTAGCAGGAGTTACAGGTAATGCAATAGAAATAAATAAAAATCCACCCTATAGTCATGTGTGCAGGGATGTGTCTTTGCACAGTCCTTCTTAGGCAGAGGGCAGATTTAATAGACTTCCTGCTTTCGAGTGACACTAGACAAGTTCCTTCCTTCTTCTATTAAAAAAGTGCTTTCCTTACAGAYATCCAGGCGAACTGGAATGATCTCTCCTAGTTTGAACTTCAATACTATGTTTGGAAAARGCCCTTTAATTAAAACCATTGCGCGATTCCGTCTGAACTTGCTGCTTGACCACTGAGCTCGGAAGGGCCTTCAAAGCTTGTCTTACCCTGCTGTGCCTAAGCAGCCTGAAGCAAAAGCCTCCCACCTCATTATTGTGATTAGCCTGCTGCTAGCAGAGCTGCCGGCCGACCCCTGCACGCCAGCGGTGGTGGCTGTGGGTCAGCGCGGCGCTTCTGGGCTCCCCTGGGCCGCCCATTCCCTCCTGCAGYGCCGAGTGACACCGGGAGAAACACTGGCCCTGTGGTGGCGCCCATGGCTGCCGCGTGCCCTCCCCCGCTGCAGAAACAGGAGGATGGTGGAGGCCGGCATCTCCCTAGGGAGCTCCTGCTTCTCCCCACACAGCGACCRGGAGGCCTTGAGGCGCCGCATCCAGAGGCACTTGCCGGCCTCGCGCCACTGGAGTTCTCCTGAGCCCCAGCCCGCAGCCTGCTCCTCCGCTGCTCCACGAGGATCCACTGCTTGAGGCCAGGGAACACTCAAGGAGGAGAAATCCATGCGAGCGGCCTGTGCCAGGCTCAGCTTTCCTCCCTCCGTGTTAGCTTGGGAGTGCTGGAGTCCAGTGCTCCGGTGTGAGAGCAACATCAGACAAGTTATTTTTTTTAATGCTGCCAGCTGAGCATAGGTGTCTTACTGCTTGTGTTGCCTTCCTGCTTAACTTGGTTGTGGCATCARAAAAAAAGCAGAGCAACTTTGATCGTGACATGCCCTTATGCTCCGTCCCCTGCTACAACCTCTGCAGGAGAAAAGTAGTGATCAAGAGCATCCATCGCCAGCCCTCTCAGTGCAGAGCAGGTACCTGTATGAGGTACAATCAGAGCGCTGCCTTTGTCACCACCACACTGACCTCAGGGCCACTCGCTCCTGTGCTTCTGCCTGCTCTCCTGCCAAGCTTGGGGCTTTGAGCTGCTGCCTGTTGTGGCTGCTCGGGTTGAGGCATCGCTGGGAACGTCTGGCGATGAACAYGGGTGTAGCAAGCAGTCACCAGCTGCTCTCACGTTCGTGTGTCTGCTCCCACAGCTCGGCTGTAGCCCTCTCTGCAATGGCTTTGAGGGAGAGAATTATTCTGAGCTGCCTTTTATCATCCGTGGATCTGAAGGTAGCTCTCACTTGGATCTTGTCTTTTCCACTGCTTGAGTCTATGCAGTGGTATTTTCCTCGTGTTAACTGTGAGCACATTTCTGAGTGTCTGGTAGAACTCTAGCTCAATGGTGTAATTCCACCCTCATGCAGCCTTATTCTGTTCCCATTCCTCCTTACCGACCTCAGGAGCAGAAATAACAGGTAGCTTGAAATTGCCTGTAACATAAAGTGAGGAGGAACCCTTATGTTATCAGATAATTCAGGGTTAATGCACAGCTTTGAAATACCCAGTTGAAAAGGCTGTTGCAGCTGCCTTGCTGCCTGCGTTGGCTCTCAGCAGCTTGGGGCGAGTCCCCCGCACCCTGCAGTGGCAGGGGACATAGGGCATGGGGCCGGTGTCCCTGCAGGGGCTCCGTGTCCCCTGGGCCCTGCAGCAGTGGGGACAGGGCCACTGTCCCTGCAGGGCTCCTCTGGCAGCTCCCGGCGCCCATCTGGCATCTCGCTGGCGCAGCGAGACGGGAAGGGACCGCGGCTTTCCTGCCCCCCTTTCCTTGCCAAACCTAGAGGAGAGGCAGCAGACACCAGGATCTACCAGGGAGGACAGGGCAGCTCCGCCGGGATTCACGGGGTGCATTGGCACAGTCAGWAATTTTTCCTTTGGTGCTGTAAGAGCAAATCAATAGGCCAAAAAGGGACTTTCAAAACCATGTTTCCCACACGGCTCTCCATCCATCAGCCGTACCAGCTGGCACCATATACCGTGAAAAAGGGGTAATGGCTTTTCAGTGCTGAGCTGCTGTTGGCTGTGCGTTGTGCCTGCTGCCTGGCCGGCCAGGAGCGCTGCCGTACAGGACCGCGCAGCCACGCGACCCGCCACACGGAGCGGGCAGAACTGCCCCTGTGCTGTTATCTCGCAGTTCTTCTGTGCTAGAAGGCATGGGGGTCAAGTGCCACTGCAGTGCTGTCTTTTAAGTGAGCTTAAGGCATCTGAATGGTGATCTTAAATAGCAAGGCTCTGTTTTTCCCYTCACTCGGAATGCCCCAGAAGCCCTATTACTATTAATGTCGGGAGAGGAGGTGTTTCGCCTGCTGATGTAGGAGTGAGATCAGGAGCAAGGCACAACCCTACAAAGAYTTATTCATAGATTAGAATTAAAAGCTCAGATAATAAAAGATCACATCCAACCTCGTATCTACAACAAGCTGTGGTATCTCATCTACTTAAATCTGTGTTTAGCCCAAGAAGAGCATCAGAAAAGCAAGTACACTGCGCTAGCATTTTCTAATATAGCAGTATTTTCAGGCTTTTCTCTTTTTTTATGCCAAAGCTAGGAGTCAACAGCAGTACAGTGCTATATGATATTGATGGAAAACCTGCGGGAGTGCYGAGATTTGGGTGTTCTAGCTGTCTACAGAGGACATGGCTGTATGGCTGTGCAAATATTTGCAGAGAGTTTTGTTTAGTACTTTTGAGAATTATTTGCTGGTAACTCTAACCAATGTAGAGCTGAAAATTAGCTCTGTATCCCTTTGAAGACAGCAGGGCATATACTGAAATATGTTTCTTTTTAAAGAAGACTTTGTCTTCAAAAATCTGTGTGGTCCTTGACAATTGCTTTTTAACATCTTCCACTGGAAGCTCCCTGCCAGTCAGCTTTCATGGGAAACATGGAGCACATTTCACATCTGCCCTCCCTTCACTTGGACCATAGCACAGAGCTGCCCTTGGAATGCACCTGGAAAGTATTCAGGAGACGCTGCACATGCAGGGAAGACGGGCCGGGCTGCACTGCTTGGGGAATGTTCTCGCCACCAGCCAGTGCCTTGCTGAGCAACTGGCTGAAGGGAGGACATGAGGAGCTTGGTCAGTGGGACTTCAGTAACGAACAGAGATGTTCACGATCCTTAGTATTATTTAATATATGCTTGTTAATGTAGAAGTGGCATGTAAATATACCTAAGTACAACTGYATGTTGTTTTTTTTGTTTTAGAAATTACATTATGCTCATTGTATTTATCATTATATTTAGCGTATCATACTAATGAAGGGCTGACATGAGAGACCCAAGAATTCAGAAGAGAAGTAGAGCTTGCTGTCCTAACGAAACCATTCCCCAGCCCGGCTTGGAGGAGCCCCTGGGTGTTCCCCATTTTTCTGTCACTGCAATGCTGTGGGGGGTACCTTTTTGTTCTGCTTGTCTCTTGAATCTAAAGTGTATTAGAGCCCTGTTTTTTTGAGTTTTCCATGTATGGATTTTGGCTAGCTACTGGCACTGGCAGTAGAGCCTTTTCTGGTGCCTCTGGGAGGAGGGGCTTTGCTTTGAGCCCCACGCTCACAGTGGGCACCACTGTAGCCTGTGGCACTGTTGCGGTGCGGAGTAACCCACCACGGAGCAACCAGCAGAGCGAGGCTGCTGCCAGTGGAGCCCCTGCCGGGCTGGTMCCTGTGAKCACCAGRGCCCTGTGCCAGGCTGGTCCCTGTGAGCACCAGGGCCCTGCCAGGCTAGTACCTGTGATCACTAGGGCCCTGTGCCAGGCTGGTACCTGTGAGCACCAGGGTCCTGTGCCAGGCTGGTACCTGTGAGCACCAGGGTCCTGCCAGGCTAGTACCTGGGAGCACCAGGGCCCTGCCAGGCTAGTACCTGTGATCACCAGGGCCCTGTGCCAGGCTGGTACCTGGGAGCACCAGGGCCCTGCCAGGCCACTGTCCAGGCAGGGCGGGCAGGCCGAGCACAGCACCACAGGCCTGCGCAGCCTGCACAGGCTCCCGCTGCGCTGCAGGGTCCCTGGTGCATCCCCGCAAGGGAACCTTCCCCTCAGGGAGCTCCAGGCATCTCYACAGGCCGTATCCCATCTAGCATGGTCATAGTCGAGACACAAGCGTCAATGATTAATTCTCCAGCCAGAAAAGGGACATGAGCATCACGTCCTGTTCAGCGTAGGTCAGAGCACGCGCTGTTCTGGCTCTGGCCAAGTGCCTGTCGCAAGTGTCACGGCGGCGCAAGGTTGGGCCGGCTCCGCCGCTGCTGCAGCTGTGGGATGGGTTRTGGAGTGGAGGGGGAGCCTTCCTGYGTGGCCAAGAAATAGTGAGAGGGACTCAGGAGCAGAGAGTGACATCATGTTTGCCACCAGGATGTGTAAGTGCTCGTGCTCCTGTGCATTGGCTTCAATGTGGAGTCCTGGACAGTGCCCATGAACACCAGTCATGCAGCTCAAGAAGTCTAGAGACCCAAAAAAAAAAAAAAAAAAGAAAAAGGGAAAAAAAAGGTCTTCTAGCTTTTTCTAGCTTAAAGAGAATTTTACTGAGCCATGTAATGATGTAATGATCCAAGTTCTTCATAGGCAGTAATCTGCTCTTCGAGGAATTTGTATAGTAAGTAAAAAAACCTCCCAACCTCTTTGACTTGTTTGTGCTTCTTTGCAGTTGTCCAACACAGCAATTCTTCACCAGATTAGACGAGACCAGGTGACAGACACGTGCCGAGCAAATAGTGTGTCCAGCAGGAAGCGCCGAGTGCTGACACCCAACGATCTCAAACACCTGGTGGTGGATGAAGACCATGAAATGATCTATTGTTAYGTTCCCAAAGTGGCCTGCACAAACTGGAAGAGAGTCATGATGGTTTTGACAGGAAGAGGCAAGTACAGTGATCCGATGGAAATACCAGCCAACGAAGCCCACGTGTCTTCAAATTTGAAGACCCTCAACCAATACAGCATCCCAGAAATCAACCACCGCTTGAAAAACTACATGAAGTTCCTGTTTGTTCGCGAGCCTTTCGAGAGACTGGTGTCAGCCTACAGGAACAAGTTCACGCAGAAGTACAACACTTCCTTCCACAAGAGGTACGGCACCAAAATCGTGAGGCGCCAGAGGAAGAACGCGACCCAGGAAGCTCTGCGGAAAGGCGACGACGTCAAATTTGAGGAGTTTGTGGCATATCTCATCGACCCACACACCCAGAGAGAAGAGCCCTTCAACGAGCACTGGCAGACTGTGTACTCACTGTGCCACCCCTGCCACATCCACTACGACCTCGTAGGCAAATACGAGACGCTCGAGGAGGATTCCAACTACATCCTTCAGCTTGCGGGCGTAGGCAACTACCTGAAGTTCCCCACCTATGCAAAGTCCACGAGAACTACTGATGAAATGACCACAGAGTTCTTCCAGAACATCAGCTCGGAGCACCAAACGCAGCTGTATGAAGTCTACAAACTTGATTTTTTAATGTTCAATTACTCAGTGCCAAGCTACCTGAAATTGGAATGAGGGATGGGTTTGGGGGGAGAGAGGGGAGAGAAAGCCTGTTTTATTTAAGATTTTTATTTGTCATAATAAATATGGAGAATGGGTTATTTTGTAAATTAATATTTTCCTTTTTTTTTTTTTTTTGAATGATGCTGCGAGCAGCACAGTCAAAATTATTTAAATCAACTGTAAGAAAGGACAGCTCTCTTTGCAGGGTAACAGCATTGTGACGATCTAGCTGTAGAAATCAGTAATTCTGCTACACTGTTTTAAAATGTTACTTGTGTTCTGGTGACTTTCATTGATCTTGCATTCCTCAAATTCTAATTAATGTTATTTATACTTATTTAAAACATGGTCTCTCGGTAGGGTTCACTTYAGCAGCATACACAAGACAGCGTGGACAAAAGGAATCTGGTTTTGTACTTTCCTCAGCTGAGCGTGGCTCTGGATGTTAATACTCTTCCATTAGCCTTTTGTGCTGGTCAATGTGGGAGTGGTTCTCGATAGCACGTTTTGAGAAATACTGGTGGAAATCATTTCTTCAGACAGTGACGTTGCACAYAGGCATGCTAGAAGGCTATCTTCCCAGTCCTGTGGGGAAAAAAAAAACAGATTTTGGTAGATACATGATATCYAAAATTCACGTCTGAGAGAATTGTGAATATTTTCCCGAGAAAGAGAAACCATGAATGTTTTAATTTGGTCTGAATGATTTTTATCAAGAATATAATTAGAGTCCCAGTGTCTCATAATTCCCAGCCTGCCAGCCCCACTGAATGCAGATTTACATCCAGAAGTGGATTTGCGGATGCTGCATCAGAAAAATTGGCATTTTGAAAGCGACTGTTTTGCAAGTGGGGACTTTTTGACTGCCCAAAGCAAAAGACACTTAATTCTGACCCAGGATGCGAAGGGTGAGGGCCACCCACCTTCTGAAAAATCCTGCCTTCTTAACCGATGGGCAATCAAAATTGGCTCTAGTGCTCCAAAGATACTGGTGATAATACATTGCTATGAAGGATGCGRGCATGTCATTTAAGAAGTCCAAAAGTCATCTTCTTGTTGATCTGCAAGCACGCAAGGCAATAAAAAAAGGTCTCTGATCTTCCTACATGCCGGTTTCACGACTTTTTCCTCTCGTGGGGAGTGGGAATCATATTTTTTTRGTGCATGCTTGAGGCACAAGTGTGTTTCTAATTTCCAGCGGGCTGATATTCCAGCTAGGCTAATTCTACTGTGAAAACATCCCCTTTTCCCATACAGTGAATGGTTAAGTGGCAGTTGTGGTGCTGATGATCCTCACTGGCGTGGCAGATTGGACAGGCAGGAGGATACCAAGYGATTGTTTTGAGCAGGCAAGACTGTTGCTCCCAGCAAGTAAGGAAAAAAACAGGATTTTGATGTGGAGCTGTATGAGCAAGCTCAGCGAGCAGGGGCTGCACAGGCTGCCCCGGAGGTTTAATTTGGCACCGGGGGATGCGCAGCCAGSGGCTGGGGCCGCGTCCCTGCGCGCAGCCCAGCCCAGCCCAGGGAGCCCGTGGGGCTCCGCGCTGCCGACACCGCAGGGCCGCCCGGCCCAACGGGGGCTGCTCCCRCCTCGGGGCCTCAGACAGCCCCTGCTCCCACCGCCAGGAGAGCACAGATCCYCAAAGGCCAAGGGGTGGTCCCGGTCTTTGCTGGCCTTCGTGAAGCTGCAGCTTTTTTCTGGCAAATAAAAGAGGGATGCCGAGGGATTAAGCGGAAAACTTTGAAGGAACCTCAATCCGTTTCACAGTTGTTTGGTAAAATGGCATTTTGAATTGCAGTCTTCCTATAAGCAAAACCAGTATTTCTAAAAAAATGAGTGAAAAACTACACAAACTCAGCAGAAGGCAGAGCTTTTTTAACAGTATCAAGGCCAGATCCTGAAAAGGTTTTAATGTGCTGGAGCTGATAATGTCCAATGAATTAAATTGTCCTCCAAGACACGTACATGGTTAAAGAAGGAAAAGGTAGGATCCATCTTGCTTTATAAAAATCAGTCACTAAGTAAATCTCAAGGGAGAACAAATCAGCCTAACAAGCACCAGCTAAAGCCCTTTCACAAGTGTATTTGGTGTTAACCCAGGATTTGGGRAGCTACTGGTTTATCATACCCTACAAATAAATCTCTTGTCCGTGCAGGAGCAGACATAGGTTTTATTACCCAGGCYCTATTTATAATGTGGAAGACTAACACAAGGGCTGGTGAGGAAGTGGCTGTCTAAATCTGGCAGCTCTGAATTCCTAAGCTGTTCCTGGTTGCTGACTAGTGTTTTACTTGAAAGCAGTTTTGTCTCGTTTAGAGATTGCGGAGCTGTTGCAAGTGCCTGTCACGGGCTGCCCTGTTCTTGTATTTGTAATTCATTGGTTTGTTAAAAGCAAAAAATGTGTACGAGGGTAGATGAGATTCCCCATCACCACCATCAATATTTCCAACAGGCTGTTTGCCTGCTTGCTCTTGTATTCAGCTGTGCTAATGTTTTCCTCGTTTTCTCTTTGATGACCTCTTAGTCCACTCCAAGCATATCTGACTGAAAGGTCTTCATTTAAGAGAAAAAAATGGCTGCAAAAAGCAAATATTTTAAAATGGGGAGTGCTCCCCTCCTCCTTTCTGTACTTTTTGGTTATCTTGGTCCTCAACACGTGGTTGTCTGTTCTTAAATATTCCCTGGAGTTTACCTGCGCTGGGGGCACAGAAAGCCCTTCCTAGTGGAGGGGAAAGCCTTGGGTCAGCAGCGCGTGATGACGCCGGGGGACTGTGCTGGCTGAGCTGGGACTTTAGCAGCATCTTTGGGTTGGGTTTAGGAGCATCTTTGGGTCGGGTTTCCCCCCTCTTGCTTCTCTGCAGACTCCTGGCACCCGGGCATACGCTCGGCCCCCATGTGGCTTTCATGCAGTTGGACACGGGTCCTTCCTAATCACTCACGCCGCAGAAATCTTGGTCCCAAGGTGCTGTTGACGGAGCTGCTCTGTCCCATCTGCTCTGCCACGTGTTGCTCGTGCGTTCTTTGTTGAAAATGCACAACAGACAGGTGGGATACGACCTTGTCCTGCATGCTGAATGCAGAGCCCCAATTAGGTCTAACTAARGAGGATCAAAAACGCTAGGGAATAACCTTCTTATTCGAACTGCTGGGTCTACGGCTTTGCCAGAGCCTAAAGATACTCTTACAATCAACSTTCATAGGCAGATCATGTGCAGGGTGGTGCCTCCTCAGCCTGGAGACATTTCACAGGCAGGAGGCAGGTCAGGGAGGGCGGTTTCGTTGAGGCCCTTTCTTGGCTGCATTGCCAGCCTGCAGAAGTAGCGGTCGCTGCCTGCTGAGCTCTGGCYCCTTCCAGTGCCCATCGGGGCTGGGTTTGTTCCCACTGCGGGCACAGACAGACCCAGGAAAGGAAAAGGCCAAACTGTACCCATGGCAAGAGACGCGTGGGGAGCTGCCATTTTAGAACAACATCATGTTGGTTACAGTCAAGTAGTGGGGAGAGAGGATCAGCTGGACACTGACCTAATCCTCACTGCTGCTACCAGCCCCCTCCAAACCATTGGACCTTAGGGTGGTGGGACCTGTTGCTTCCCCGTCAGCTGTGCGGGAAGCCCCTGGCTGGGCCCAGCAGCGCTCGCCCGGCCTCGCACAGGCAGCAGCAGCAGCTCCGGTTGGCTCCTCCCCGGCGGCTCCAGGCACCTCCGCCTGGCTCCATGTCCGGCTTCGGCCCGTCTGGCCACGGCGGGAAGGGGGCAGATGTTGACTCCGAGTTCCCCCGTGCCTCAGCCCCTGTGCGAAACATGCCCCTTATCGCAAAGCCTGCCCTGCGCCAGGCGTGTGAGACGCGCCGCGAGCAGGGCAGAGGTGCTTCTAGAAGTCAGATTACCCCCGATGTTTGCGGGTTTCTCTGTAGTCCGCTGCACTTTTCAGGTACAAAAAGGGACTGTCCTTACTATTACTCTTGTTACAGAGAGTGTTATTTTCTTACATGCATGCACAATGAAATGTGTACGAATAATTTAACATCAATGTGGGGTTGGATTTTTTTTTTTTTTTACTTATTTGTATGCAGTAGAAGGCTTGTTGTAGAAGAGTATCTCCTCATACCTAAATATACTGTTAATAAAGAAGAAAAAAAAGCTAAATTATACATTGCCAACACAAGTATGAACTGCTCATGAATCTTTCCTTAAAAAAAGCCATTCAAGCCTGATTATTTTTCTAAGTAACTTCAATTAAATTGAAGAAAGAAAGTTCTCTCTGTGTGCTTTATTTCTGGCTTACACAGTCAGGGTTGGGGGCGGGATTTTGCCTGGAAGCCTTTGCRTTCTCACAAGGGCTTTTGTGGTGGTCTAAGCAAAAGACCCAAAATCACAGACAAGTGGGGAGCCGGAAAACTAAGATCTTGTAATGGGATCGTTCTCGTTCCCTTCCCCATTCCCCCAGCCCCAACAAGTGGAGCACAGAGTGGGGGTTGACATCCTTCTGCTACTTCTGTTTCACAGGCGAGTCAAAAATGAAGGGTTGCTCTATGAAGACGAGAACTCCAGACTCAGATCTCACTTTCAGGGTGGGCACTGGGCATCTCCCTAACCCAGGGGCCACCTCAAAGCAGGTGCAGTCAAGGAGCTCAGGTCCCATAAGGGGCACCACTGTAGCTTTCTGATGTTGGCCCTTTCCTTTGGGTCTCATGATATCTGCACAGCCAGGGGTAGCGGTACCTGGAGGTGCCTCCTCAGACCACCTAAGTGGTCTTAGACCACCTCAGACCACCTCCTCAGACCACAGCAAGGGGAAGAGCTGGGAAATGGGGACAGGTGCCCACAGTCCTACCACACAAACAGCTCTCACATCAAAAGAAAGGCAAAACAATAACGTGGACAAGATTAACCAAAACACCAGCCTGAGGAGAACATTTCAGCTCTGTTTTGCTCTTTGCACAGACCACTAGGGCAGCTGGCCTTTTTGCTCCTTCTTATGCACCTGATTCAATCAGCAGAAAAATTATTGATTGATTACCAATAATCAAAATTATCAAGCCTGATGAACTGTGTGGGGCTGGTCTGGGTTTACAGCAAGCAAGGGCAGGAGCTGTCAGTGGGGTGAGGGCAGCCTGWCCAGAACTATCACCCCACCTCAAACAGGGGCATTGTGAGCCAGGCAGACAAAGCAAATCCCAGCAATCTGGTGCCTTTTAGGCCGCATGTGTAGAAGTTTTCCTCCCCAAATGCACAATTGCTCGCAGCAGTTTATTGCTAAACATTCCCAGCACTCCCTAACCTGTGTCATCACAGGCTTTCAGTGAGGCCACAGCTAACCCCAAGTGGAAGCTTCCAAAGGTGAAGAACCAAAGCRCCCAAGGACATTATCTCCACAAACAATATTGGGGAATATTGTAGGGCAGGCACTGTAGGGCCTGCATGGGCCGGCATGGGCATGGGCATGCTCTTCGTAGTCATTGAAAGCTTGGAAGCGGGGCTGTTCTCTGCAAGACACAGAGAGCAAACACCACCTCAGCTCTTCTTAAGACCTCCAAGCCCCTCATTTTTAGGGGCAGTTTAGTGTGCTGAGAGACAGCTGTGGCACTAAATAGCTCTAAGGTCAAYGCTGATGCAACCTCTTTATGATAGAGAACCTTCAGGATAGACCTACCACTAACTTCTTCTTTCTGCACAGGGCTGGAATGATCCACGGATCAGCCCATGCCATCGCTGCCCCTAGACTCCTTCAGAAATTACTGCTCCTCTTCACAGACATGTTGCTGGAAGGGRCCTCCAGAGGGTCAGGGACCTCTAGGCCAGCCTTCTGCACAAGGGCACTAAGACTTGCTCAGGACAGCCATGGGTTTGGCTGCCTCGATCCCTCCAAGGACGGAGCGCTCACCGCCTCACTCGTGTGAGATGCCCCAGTGCCATCCAACCTTTGACTTGTGTCCATAACCTATCCCTGTTTGAGGAGCACTGTGGAGCCATTTTCTGTGCGAGTTGCCTTCATATGGCTGTAGGCTGCTATTGGGCTACCAAAGAGCTACCCTGTCACCAGGCTAAGCAAAACTAGATCCTCATAAGTTATATTCCTCAGGGCTGTGAGCATATTGGTAACC